GTGGGCGATGGAGTGAGACTCCAACTCAAAAAAAAAAAAAGTTAAAGCTTGCTATGCGGATAAAAAACTCAATCTCCTGTGGCCGAAGGTTTTACCCTTAGCACTGGTCCTCTCCTGTGTTTCCATATGAAATAGAATGGCCCACCTATTCCCTAGTCTGGGCTCTCAAAGACCCTAGCCTGGTCAACTCAGACATCTGAAAATACTGACAAGGGTTTTTCCTACACTTCATACACTCTCCCTCACAATTCTGCTGTGATCATTTCCTATGTCTTGGAAGGGTCTCACTCTGCCTGCCTCGTGCACTAGAAAAGTATACCCTGTGGCCGTCGTCCTGGTGCATGCCCAGCCTGGGACTGAAGGCCTGCGTTCTGCCTGGGACGATTAGCAGCAAGTGGTCCTCCATCCTCCAGCCCACATACTCCGAATGCCACGCATCAGGTGCCATGACATCATTCACCCTTCCCGATGAACCTGGCCCACTGAGATGCCATGCCAGTGACCAGCCCCAAAGACTGGAAACAGGGAACCCAGCAGGCCTGGAAAGGGGACTTGCCCACAGCTGCACCCTTGTCAGCTTATCATCTCCCTGGACTGGGCCCCAGGTAGCACAGTGACAGGTTGGAGCTACTGGGCCAAGAGGGGTCACACAGTCCACCCAGTCACACTGCCACCACTCCCTAGCTCCGCCCCCTGCCTCCACTTAGCCTGCTTTCGTCCACCCTTCTCAGTGCCACCAGAAAGCCCACTCTTGCCGTGTCACTCCCCTGCTTCAAACCATCTTGCCTCCTCCCTACCCTAACACGCACTCACTGTTTTCCCCTCCCACATCTGTCACTCCATGGCCAAGGTTAGAGGTCTGTGCACCCCACCAACAGCACCTCCTTATCTCCAGCTCCCTCTCGGTCCACCATAATCCACCTGCTCCCCCAACTTGCTCCCCTCAAGACAATCATGAGTTCCACATTACCAAATCTGATGGGCTGATTTCAGGGTCAACAGCATACAGGGAAGTTCGCTCAGTCTGCCTTGGTTTCCATGACAGCACTCTTTCTTGATGCTTCTGATGATGCAAAACTTCCTTCTCAGTACCTCTTCACAGCTCCTCTTACCCTTCAAGACTCTTCAGTAGAATTTGCCAGGATTCTGGCTCATCTGCCTTTGCTGCTCTCTTATTTTTACGTCTTTTCATTTTATATACTTGGTTAGGGTTTTAGGGAATTCCCCCCGCTTTCCTCTTTGAGACAAAAGAAGAGTAGAAAATGAAGATGAATAGCAGCTGCTGGAACCAAAGGCTTTAGTTGTCCGGCCTGAAAGGAAGGCTCCATCTGCATCCCTGAGCCATGTGGCTGGACCTCCAGCCCTGGGCACTGGCAGGGGAGCCGAAAAGGCATGCTTGATGCACACTGGCTACCAAAGACATTGTCCAGGCAGCCTCCCGGCTCCTGTCAGTGACTGCCTATGAGCTCAAGCCCACAGCTCTTGACTCTCTAGCCTGTCGATTCTCTGCAGTGCATCAGGATCCCCTGCGGGCACTTGCAACTCAACATGGCCCAACGACCTTATCATTGCTCTGCATGGCACCCCCCACCTCCTCACCCTTGGCTACTTTCTGTCGCCATCCACCCACTTCCCCCTCACTGTTACGTTCAATAAATCAAAACCATTTGTGGCCTCACCACCCTAAGCAAATAGCCTCCTGCATGATCCCCTGGCAGTGGAGGGCTCTTCCTTTAACTTGAGTCAGGCTGCAGCACTCTCCTGCATGTAAACTGCCAGTGGCCCCTGGGACCCTCAGGATGTGGGCCACACTCTTCAGTCTAGGAGCAGGTGTCTGCCCAGCCTCCTCTCGGTGGTTCTTCCTGCCAAACCACTGATCAGCCCTCCTTCACTGTGGCTGCCCTGACTCCACGGTCCCGGGGCGTCTAGGCTTCTGCAAGTTTCCAGCTTTCTCTACCTGGAATAGCTTCTCTGGCATGTCTGTCTGGCAAAATCCTCCTCAGCCTTCCCAACCCAGCTCCGAGCTCACTGTGCCTGTAAAGAAATCCCTTCCCAACACCACCCCTGCAAAACAAACAAAGACAAAACCACAGCAGGAGTCACCTCCTCCCTCATCTGTGGGCTGCACTTCTTATACCCTGACTAATGCAGGAAGCCATGTGATGTGGCAGGAGGTCCACAGTTGTTGACTCAGTGGCTTTGGATGGGGCCCCTATGGGGCCTGGAGCCCAGGAGTCCAGGACGGGGGTTAGGCATTCTTAAATAGGAAAACCTGCCACCTAGCAGCTGAGTGTGGCCCTAAAGACAACCTCCTAGGTAACCAGTTGTGGATCTGCAATGCCCCCAGAGGGGGTGACCATTTTTACTTCAGCCCTGTGAGGGCGGCCACAGGCCCTGTGCATGACCATGGCCGACTCCCCACAGGACTCCACCATCCCCAGCCTTTGGGACTGTGAGAGTCTTGGCTGTCCACTCGAGCATTTCTGGCCTGTGTATCCACAGACATGGTCAGAGCTCTCCTCGCTCCTGCAAATCACCAGCCTGTGAATGCTTCCGTAGCTGATGGACACGTGGTGTTGGGGCCAGTAGGTAGATGCCTTCAGAGGGCTATAACTTGAAAACTTCATGCCCACGCCACATGGTCACTTGCAGTCATGGGCATGCTGACACATGCCAGCACATCGCCAGTTACATCCTATGTCATTCTATCATGCCAGCTTACATGGCTCTGTTCCTCTCGCTCCAACCTCTCTCTGCTTTCTCCATCCCTCTTTTGCACTTTTATGCTTTTTTCATTCTCTCATGCTCAGTCTTCTCACAATGCTGTTTTACACACACACACACACACACACACACACACAGCCCTTGCCCTTCCTGGGACCCCCACCTGTAAAGCACCTGTACTCTGGCAGACAGGCTTCCCTCTGGCCCCACGCACTGGGAGTTAGTCTGGGCTTCTTACACCTGTGATGCCACTCCAGGCCCATGGAATCACCTCTGTGACCTCACTCACAGAGCAGAAGCCTGAGCACCCAAGTGTGCATGTGCCAGGCATAGGCATGGAGTGGGGGGAGGCAGTGCTCACCTGGGTGGCAGCCCCTGACAGAAACACTGCCTCTAGCAGGCAGGAGCCCAGCACAGCTGCCCTTACCTGCCCACGCTGCTCTCCAGGCCAACAAGCTGCTCGGGTCCGCTGGGGCTGCTCCGCCGCTCTGGGGTGCTGGGATCTGCTGGTTGCTCGGTGGGTACAGCTGGGACTCCCTGGCCACCCCTCGGGGCTCCAGGCCTCTCCTGCCAGGCCTCTTCAGCCTTGGTGGCCACATTCTCCTCCTCGCAACCAGCCAAGGTGCTGAGGAAGAGTGAGAACATCCTCATGGAGGAAGGGATCTGGGTCCAGCCCTTGCTCACCCAAGGCACGCTGGCTGGCTGTCACCTCCGGAGGGCTTGGAGGGGTTTGTCTCCCTAAGGAAGGGGCAGGGAGGAGCCAGGCACAGCCCCTGCCCCAGGGAGTGGGTGCTGCTCCCTTCTCACTGAAAAATCCAGCCTCTATGTGTAATAGATGGAGCCTGAGCCTCTCATGCTCTTGCTACCCTTGAGTTCAGCAAGGTGAGAGTGGCTTCCCCAGCTGTCTTGGCAGTGAGCTATTTGGGGGTCTTCCCTGGCCTCCCATCAAGTCTGCATTGCACTCACAAAGCGACATATGGAAAAGGAGGGGAATTGCTAGCAGATCCTATACTTACACACCCCTCCCATCATGTGACATCCCCACCCTGAGGTGCAAGGTGTTCCTTCCAGGCTCTACTGCGCCAGGGGCGAAAACTGAGTTGAGTTATTGAAAGCATGACCCCAGGTTCCAGAAGATGAAATCTAGTTCACTATCACCTTGATCCTGGCTCACCCACAACTCAGCTTTCCCAACATCATCAGCTTGCCTTCCATAGCTGGTGGAGGTCACCCCGAGACAAGAACATACCAACTACCACCGACCCCGGGACTCTTTATTTATGGAAATTGAGTCCAAGCTAGGCAGGCTCCCTGCCATCACATTGGAATAACAAGAAGAGCGGAGGCCCGAAAGCAATGTGATTCTTTGATGAGGGGGCGAGGCTAAATAACACAGCAGGGACAGCAAGCTGACTGGCACCTCAATGCACACCAGGCAGAAGTGCAGGGAGGTGGGTGTGACACAACTCAGTGTCGGTGACACCATCCCATTGGTGCTGTGCTTCTCCCACCCTTACCAAAAGTGATCTGCAAGTCCAGTGTCAGTCCCAGGAATGCCAGCAGGCTGCTCTGACACTCCACTCTGCTTCTGCCTGTGACACACATACTTGAGCCACAGATAAACACAGAAGGCCTAAAGAGGTTGCCTCTTGACTATGGTAGCCCTGAGTTAGCTTTACCATGGATGTAATCAGTCCCATCTATTCCATTCCATGTCCTCTACAGAAATAAGCTAATAAATAGAGGTTGTCCTCACCAAGTTTGAGAATAGAGCCAGGATTCTCCACAAAGAGCAACTGAGCTTCCACTACAACATAGGGACAAAGGTGAATAAGGTTTCCTCATCCTAAACCTTGGAGCAGGGCCACTAGGACTTTAGGAGATGTGGCCCACCTACATCTCAGAAAAGAAATTTTAGGCAGATATTCACAGGCAGCTGCAAGTGGTTCCTGGGGGCCTTATTTCCTAGCTGTCCTGTCCAGGCCCCTCATGAACTGTCTGAAAGTCAAGTGGTCAGAGATAAGCAAGGTAATAATGGGAGTGACCTCTGATGAGGCTTTGGATTGGGATTAGCTGGTTCTCTGGCTGTAACTGAATCCAAATTCCAATAGCCTAGTACAGCCACTGCCGATTCCTGACACAAACCCATTCTACACAAAAGAAAATGTCCCCTTCCACTGTGGCACTGCCTCCACTACACTACAGTTGTCAGCAGTGAGTGAATTTGCCTAAAGTTCACCTGATCCTCATGTAGAGAGAACATAAACCTGAAAATCCAAACTTGCAACATGAAGAAAATAGTTCTAGATGTAAAATTTGATAAAAATTTAGTGGGAAGGAGATGAAATACGGTGTCTTATCAAAGGAAATCGGGCCAATAAAGCTGGTCAAATCAGATTTCCAGGCGTCCTTAATACTTCTGGGGGAAGCAGGTACTCCTCTGGGACTACTTCATTTAACTTAAGGTCTAAATATCATACGTGCTTTACATATGCAAGTCCATTTAGCCCTTCCAACAATCCTGTGTGGTAGGAAGTATTGTTACCACTATCTACATGTGAGGAAACTGAGGCACAGAGGAGAGGGGTTGGGCACAGTGGCTCATACCCATCATCCCAGCACTTGGGGAGGCGGAGGCAAGATGATTGCCTGAGTTCAGGGGCTCGAGACCAGCCCTGGGCAACTTGGCAAGAACTTATCTCTGCAATAAATTAAAAAAAGAAAATTTAGCCAGGCGTGGTGGTGCACGCCTGTGGTTCCAGCTCCTTGGAAGGCTGAGGCAGAAGAATTGTCTAAGCCCAGCGAGTCGGGAGTGTGGTGGCTGTGAGCGTGCCACTGCACTCTAACCTGGGCAACAGAGTGAGACTTTGACTAAAATAAATAAGTAAATAAAAAATAAGCTGAGGCATAGTAGCCCACGCCTGTAGTCCCAGCTACATAGGAGGCTGATGCAAGAGGATCACCTGACCCCAGGAGGCTGAGGCTGAAGATAGCAGTGATCCTGCCACTGCACTCCAGCCTGGGCAACAGAGAGACCCTGAATCAAAAAAAAAGGAGAAGGAGGAGGAGGAGCAGGAGGAGGAGAGGGAGGGAGAGGGGTACGGGGAGGGAAAGCTGAGCTTCCCCCAAATTTCATTGCGAACGCCACACACGGCTCAGGGATTAGCAGTGAAAACGGGGAAATATGGAGGTACAGCTGAAAAGCTGTTTAAGAGGCACTGAGCTCTCCAGTGCCTTCTCCCATTCTAGCAGAAGAGGAAGTACTCTCTTTGGAGAGGATGAAACAAAGTGTGTCTCAAACAAAGTGTCGCAACCGGGAGCACCAGGAACAACGGACGGTACAGAATGTGGATGCGCCAGGTGTGGACCACCTAGGGCCTTCTGGGCCCACTCAGTTCCTGGGATGCTGACGGCCAGCCTCAGGCATCACACTGAAGAGCTTCCTCTGGGTTATTTGATCATCTCAAGATGACGGAACTAAAGCTAGTAACTTTGGGGCTCCCCAGTAAAATGGCCCAGCTAGATCACGCTACAGTGAAGCTCATGGTTGACAGGCCCTTCCCATCAGGTCATTAATGCCTCCATTTTTTTTTGGAAGAGGGGTCTCACTCTGTCACCCAAGCTAGAGTGTAGTCACTGCAGCCTAAAACTCCCAGGCTCTCACGATCCTCCCGCCTCAGCCTCCCAAGTAGCTACGACTACAGGCAAGTGCCAATATACCCAGCTGATTTATAATTTTTATTTTTGTGCCAACGGAGTCTTGCTAATGTTGCCCAGGCTGTTCTTGAACTCCTGACCTCAAGTGATCCTCCCACCTCAGCCTCCCAAAGTGTTGGAATGACAGGTGTGAGCC